AGAAAGAAAGAAAGAAAGAAAGAAAGAAAGAAAGAAAGAAAGAAAGAGAGAGGGAGAGAGAGAGGGAAGGAAGGAAGGAAGGAAGGAGGGAGGGAGGGAGGGAAGGAAGGAGGAAGGAAGAAAAGAAAGAAAGAGGGAGGGAGGGAGGGAGGGAGGGAGGGAGGGAAGGAAGGAAGGAAGGAAGAAAGAAAGAAAGAAAGAAAGAAAGAAAGAAAGAAAGAAAGAAAGAAAGAAAGGGAGGGAGGGAGGGAGGAAAGGAAAGAAGGAAGGAAGGAAGAAAGAAAAAGGGAGGAAAGAAGGAAGGGAGGCAAAGAGAGAAAAAGGAATGAAAGAAAGAAAGAAAGAAAGAGAGAAAGAAGGAAAGAAAGAAAGGGTGAGAAATGAATGAGTCCTATGGCAGAAACCACTAGTACTCACCAATGTCTGTGCTCCTCTCTTCTTCCTGGGCACACTGCTAGACTGCATTTTCCAGTCTCCTTTGAAGCTAGGTGTGGACATGGGACTAAATTCTGGCCACTGCAAACATTATGCCCAAACCTGGCCTATTAAAACATTCTACATGGGTTGCTCCTTTTCTTTTCCCATCTGCTAGCTGAAAGAAGATCCAAGAACCTAAAGGAAGATGGAGCCACAAGGTAGAGTTGGATCCCTGCATGACTGCGTGGAGTACAGTGCCTCATTGACCCACATTAAAATGTGATATGGGTAAGAAATAAAATTTTGTTGTGTTAAGCCACTCAATGTAAGGGTTGTTTGTTAGAGCAATCAGCTTGCCCAGACTATTAAAACTCCAAGATAGTCCTTTTGAAATTATGAACATTGCCTTCTCTATACCAAAAAGATAGCCAACATTGTTACCACTTTAACTTAAACCCTGCGCAAGTGAAGAAAGATCTTTAGATTTGCTTTTATAATTAGCTCACACAATCAATCATTGGACAGTCTTTATAAAATCAGAGGACACTTCTCTCCCTCTTTCTTTTTCTTAGATTTCCACTGAAGCTGAGTTAGACCAAAGGAGAAAGAGTTTTTGCTCAGTAGGCTTAAAATGCTAAAGTTTCCATCAGGGTTTAGTACGCAGCCTGTAAGACTGCGTGTTTCATGGAATAAAGCTAAATCTGCCCTCCAACACATCTATTTTTAAGATCCCCGGTGTCTGATCCTGACTCAGCTAAGTGAATCATGCTCAGCTCTGTTGGTGACACATCAACCACAGAATGCAGGGGTGTGAGGCACAAGAACACAGTAGGGCTGACACAAGCTCTCCTCTGCCTGCACAGAGAGCATTCCAGATTATGAAGGAAACATAGCTTGTGGCCATTCTCTTGAATGTGTACACTCTATTTACAATGAAAGCCACTTTGACTCTTTTTACATACACGTGCATGTAATTCTACATCTGCAATTGCCCACTTAACTCTCTAGTAGGTTTTAAGGCATCTACTAATTTTTCTTCCTTTCTAATTGTTCTGACAAGGAAATACGTAATGTTCAATACTAGCCACCCAAGAGAGCTATTATCTGCCTCTAAAGTTCCTCTCTGTTATCTACCAGGGACTTTTAAGAGGCTTTCTCCTGTTGGATTAGAATTAGCAAAACACCTGAGAAAAAAGGCAAGCACATTCATGGAATAACGCTTCATTTCTATTGATGTATAGGCTGATACAATTCAAACACAATATCATATTTTTTAATTTGACAGAATCATTTTAGCATATATCTGAAATAATAGACAGTTGAGAATAGTTGGAAAATTCTGACAGCGAAGAATGGTAAGGGAGGATTTGCCTTACCAAATATTAAAGCCAATTGAAAGACATTCATTGAAACAAAGTGATCATGACATGAGAGTAAGTAAATAGATCAGTGAAGTACAAAAGATGGTTCTAAAATGGACCCTCAAATATTTAAGATATTAGGATATGATATTTATTTTTAAAATCACAGATCAATGAGGAAAGGTTAGAGTGTGAAATGAATACTGTTTTTACAAATGGTTAACTACTTGGGGAAAAATCCTCCTTACATCTCATCACACAGCAAAATAAGCCCCAAATACATTAAAGAATTTAATGAGGGATGGGCCTGGTGGCTCATGCCTGTGATCCCAGCATTTTGGGAGGCTAAGGTGGGAGGATCACCTGAGCCCAGGAGTTCGGGACCAGCCTGGGCAACATGGTGAGATTCCATCTCTACAAAATATACGAAACAATTAGCCAGGGTGTGGTGGTATGTGCCTGTGGTCCCAGCTACTGGGGAGGCTGAGGTGGGAACCTGAGCCCAGGGAAGTTGAGGCTGCAGTGAGCCCTGATTGTGGCAGTACACTTCAGCCTGGGCGACTGGAGTGAGACCCTGTCTCAAAGAAAAAAAAAAAAAAAGAATTTAAAGTGAGAGCATTAAAAAGAGTAGAAAAATATGATGCTGACTATTTATACAATTTGAAGATGATGAAAGATTTTCTAAGTGTAAAATTTATAGAAAGAAACAATGGAAAAACAATGGAACAAGATACCAATCAATTTTGACCCTGTAAATTTAAATTACTGAATTTCAAAAAGATAATAAAAGACAAACTAAAAAGTGCAAAAACACTTGAAATACACATTAAAAAATGGAATATTTTTAATATAAATAAAACCACAAAAACAAACCAAAATAGAAGCCAAACTAAAATAACAATCAAATGAAAACCCATAAATGGCTTAATGGAAAAATGAGTAAAAGGCATAAAAATTTTTTTTATAAAAGAAAAACTGTAAGTGGTCGCTGGGTGCGGTGGCTCACACCTGTAATCCCAGCACTTTGGGAAGCCCAGGCAGGCGTATCACCTGAGGCCAGGAGTTCGAGACCAGCCTGGCCAACAATACAAAAATTAGCCTGGCATGGTGGTGCATGCCTGTAATCCCAGCTACTTGGGAGGCTGAGGCAGGAGAATCACTTGAACCCGAGAGGTAGAGGTTGCAGTGAGCTGAGATTGCGCCATTGCAGTCCAGCCTGGGCGACAGACAGCGACTCCGTCTCAAAAAAAAAAAAGGAAAAATATAAGTGGTCAATTAACACATGGAAAAGATGTGTAACTTCATTGACAGCTGAAGCATGAAAGTGAACCAAAAGTAAGATAATTTTTCAACTATCAAACAGCTTAAAATTTTAAAAAATGATAATACTTGTTATTTATTGTTGATAAGGCTATGTTGAGACTGATGCTTTCATATAATGGTGATGGAAGTATAAATTTATTAATGCATATTAAACTCCTTTGCAAATTTCATATCTGGTCAGGCACAGTGGTTCACACCTATAATCCCAGCACTTTAGGAGGCTCAGGCAGGACCATTGCTTGAGGCCAGCAGTTCGAGACCAGCCTGGGCAACATGGCAAGACCCCGTCTCTACAAAAATTAAAAATTTAGCTGGCATAGTGGTGCTTGCCTGTAGTTTGGGAAAGCTACTCAGGAGGCTGAGATGGGAGGATTGCTTGAGCCCAGGAGGTTGAGGCTGCAGTGAGCCGAGATTACGCCACTGCACTCCAGCCTGCATCTGAATGACAAGACCCTGTTTCAAGGCAAAACAACAACAACAAAAACCAAATTCCATACCCTTGGATATTATCATCCCACCTCTATGAATATGTCCTCAGGAAATGATCAAAGATGTAAGTATTCATGTAGCAAAATGCCTGCTGAAGCATTGTCTGTAGTGGGGAGAAACTGGAAATACCACAAATCTCCCAAGCTAAATGGCTAAAGAAATTATGGTGCATTCATAGAAATGGATTTATGCCATCAGTAAAAACAATGCCTTAAAGGAATATTGAATGCTATGAGGAAACGCGGATAATGAGTAAAGTGGGGTACATATTACATATGTATGTACGTGTATTTGCACATGCATATTACATTTGAGACGTAAACAAACAAATATAAAAAGATTCCCAAATGTTAACGTAATTTCCCTGGGAAGTAAAATTGTGGATGATTATCCTGTTCTTTTTCTACCTTTGTAAATTTTTCCACAGCAGAATTCAATTATTAAAAATATAAAAAGTTTACATTTTTAAGACGCTGTTTGCGTGGCTATTGTTCCTTCAACATTAGTTTGAAATGATCTGTAATATATTTGGGAAGTGCAGTAACATTTCTTGGGATTCTTTTTCAGATGATTCTTACTCAAACTACCCAAATGACATTTCAGAAAAATTATTTCCATTGTTTATGATGTGGTATCTGGAGTACACATGGGAATTTTTTTTTTTAAGAGACAGGGTCTCACGCTGTCGCCCAGGCAATGGAGTGCAGGGGTGTGGTGGCAGCTGGTTGTAACCTCAAATTCCTGGGCTCCAGTGATCCTCTCGCCTCAGCCTCTGAAGTATCTAAGACCACAGGCATGCACCACTTCACCTGGCTAGTTTTGTGATCTTTTGTAGAGATGGGGTCTCCCCACGTTGCCCAGGCTTGTCTTGAACTCCTGGCCTCAAGTAACCCTCCAGCCTTGGTCCCGAAAAGTGCTGGGATTACAGGTGTAAGTTACCGTGCTCTGACCCACATGGGAAACTTTTTTTTCTTTTAGGCCAAGTCTCACTCCATCGCCCCAGCTGGAGTAGTAGTCAATCTACACAGGATGGCAGGGAACTCATTCCAGCTGCTCTGACCTCTCCTCTCCAACTGCTCACACAACCTCTGGTCCCCAGAATCTCGAAGACCTAGTCCGACCCCAGACCACCCTTCCCAGTCACGCCTGCTCCTCTCCAGCACTGCTGTGATGTTCTCTGTGTCTGGGGAGCACACCTCCCCCTCAGCCTCGTTTGTTCTGTTCCACCCACCTGCCTGGGATCCCCACACCTCAATGCTGCCCATGAGGTCTTCTCCAGGCCCACCTCCCTCCGGGAAGTTCCTCCAAACTACACAACCATAATGGCGGCCTTCTCTGGGCAGGGATTTGGGCACAGGACTTGCATAGGACAGGCACTCAATAAAGGCTGGTTAGTTGGTGGTTGATGGAAGGAAAAAAGGAAGAGAGGGAAGGAAGCAGAGAAGGGGAAAGAAGGGAGGAAGGAAAAGGGAGGAATGGAGCTCACCGACGGCTGGAGGCTCAGGTTCCCTCTGAAACTGAAGACAGAGGACCGGTGGCACTCCACATTCCAGTGTTTGGAGTGTTTGATGCCTATTCTTGATTCCTTAAAAAGACAAGAAAATGGGATTGAGTGAAGAGAGAGGATAAAAGAAAGAGTCTTGGAGAATGCAAGTACCTCGGATTGACTGCTCTGTACCTCTCTAAGTTGAGCAGATAGCAAAGAGCTAAGCACTGAAATTCGGTAATGCCTATGCCGTGCTGTTTACCCTGTTAGGCACTCACCTGGGCAGGCTAATTTTGTTTCCAGTAGAAAAAGAGCTGAACACACTGGCTTCCTCCTCATTTCAACATGAAATGATATTTGCCTCAATTCATCCCATCTGTTTCAAACTTCCAGATCCATGTAGTGAGATGCTAAAGCATATATTATTCCCTCATACATACAAAGTAATGAACTATACGGTTATTCATTGAAGCATTGCAATGATAAGAGACTGAAACCTAAATGTCAACTAATAAGAGGTGAGGCCAGGCTTGGTGGCTCATGTCTGTAAAGCAAATACTTTAGGAGATCAAGGCTGGAGGATCACTTGAAGCCAGGAGTTTGAGACCAGCCTGAGCAACACGGCAAAATCCTGTCTCTACAAAAAGTACAAAAATTAGCCAGACATGGTGGTGTGTGCCTGTGGCCTCGGCTACTCGGGAGGTTGAGGCAGAAGGATTGCTTGAGCCCGGGAAGTCAGCGTTGCAGTAAGCTACGATCATCCCGCTACACTCCAACCTGGGCAACAGAGTGAGACACTGATGCAAAACAGTAATAATAATATCATAATTAGGGATGGATTGACTATGTGATGGCCTGACAATTGAATACTAGGCAGCTGTAAAATAGAATGGGAAGCTGTTAATGAACTGCTTTTGAAGTGATTTCTAAGACATTGTTATGGGAACCAAGTAAGGTAGAGAAGACTGTATACAGAACAGTATTTGATTTAAATGGTGAAAATTATATATATTTGCTAATAAATGCATAACTATCTATGGAAGGACACATAAGAAACTGGCAAAACTGGATGGCTGGGGAGGGAGGAAGGCTTTTTTTTGGCCACGCTTTTGTGCTTTTTGGATTTATTTTTATTTTTATTTTTTGAGATGGAGTCTCACTCTGTTGCCCAGGCTGGAGTACGATGGCGTGATCTCGGCTCACTGCAACCTCCACCTCCCCGGTTCAAGCAATTCTCCTGCCTCAGTCTCCTGAGTAGCTGGGATTACAGGTGCCCATCACTACACCTGACTAATTTTTGTATTTTTAGTAGAGATGGGGTTTCACTATGTTGGCCAGGTTGGTCTCAAACTCCTGACCTCAGGTGGTCCACCCACCTCAGCCTCCCAAAGTGCTGGGATTACAGGCATGAGCCACTGCACCCGGCCTATTTATTTATTTTAGAAAAAGAATCTCACTCTATTGCCCAGGCTGGAATGTAGTGGCACGATCATAGCTCACTACAGCCTCAAACTCCTGGTGTGCGAGCTACCACACCCGGCCTAATATTTTCATAATCAGACACAAAATCTAATTTTTAGAAAGATTTCAGCCTGGCCAGGTGCGGTGGTTCACACCTGTAATTCCACTACTTTGGGAGGCCGAAGCAGGAGGATCACGAAGTCAGGAGTTCGAGACCAGCCTGGCCAATATGGCGAAACCCCATCTCTAATAAAAATACAAAAACTTAGCTGAGTGTGCTGGTGTGCACCTGTAGTCCCAGCTACTTGGGAGGCGGAGGCAGAAGAATTGCTTGAACCCAGGAGGCGGAGGTTGCAGTGAGCCAAGATTGCTCTACTGCACTCCAGCCTGAGCAACAGAACAAGAGTCCGTCTCAAAAAAATAAAAAAAAGAAAGAAAGGAAAGAAAAAGAAGATTTCAGCCTGGGCAACATGGCAAAACCCCATCTCAAAAAAAAAAAAAAATACAAAAGTTCACCAGGTGTAGTGGCACACACCTATAGTCCCAGCTGCTTGGGAGGCTGAGGTGGGAGGATCACCTGAACCCAGGAGGCTGAGGCTGCAGTGAGCTGTGATCACGCCACTACTCCAGACTGGGCAACAGAGTGAGACCCCGTCTCAAAAAGGAAAAGAAAAGAAAGAGAGAGAAAGAAAAGAACGATTTATTCGTATTTTGTATACTCTACTAGCTAGGAGCAATAAATATGGACAAGATCTCCAGCAATTCTGAAGCACTGAAACAAAAACACTCAATTTGCTAGACCACTGCTCTCCCCTGCTCACCGATGAATTGAGGGTTCCTGTGCTTTGAACCACATTTCTGTGATGAGCAGAGTTTGCTGCAGGGATCACAAGCACCTCAGGTCAGCTGCTCACTTGAACACAACCCATCCTGTGGACATGTGTGGGCGGTGGCCAGACCTCTCACCAACAAAGGAGGTTCTGTGGCATTTCTTGCAACCTGACGCCTCTCGATTGATTCAGACCTGTTGGGGGGGACCATTAGGAGGATAGAGTTAATGAATAATAAATAGCATATTTACACAGCCCTCGCTATCCCCAAAGACTCTAAAGTGCTTTATAAAAGAATAGATAAATTATATATTGGGGACACAGCCTCTGCTACTGAGACACAGCCTCTTCTGGGGGAAAAGTGGCAGTTGTTAAATGCTGCACAGTCCAGATGGACAGGAAACCCAGAGCTACTTTTTTTTTTTTTTTTTTCTTGAGACAGAGTTTTGCTCTGTAGCCTAGGCTAGAATGCAACAGCACAATCTGGGCTCACTACAACCACCACCTCCAGGGTTCAAGCGATTCTTCTACCTCAGCCTCTCGAGTAGCTGAGATTACAGGCGTGTGCCACCATGCCCAACTAATTTTTTGCATTCTTAGTAGAGACAGAGTTTCACTATGTTGGTCAGGCTGGTCTCGAACTTCTGACCTCAAATGATCTGTCTGCCTCGGCCTCCCAAAGTGCTGGGATTACAGGCATGAGCCACAGCGCCCAGCCTGCAGAGCTTCTTTTAAAGTTAATTTTACCATTAGGGGCATGGTGGTGCACACCAGCAGTCCCAGTCACTCAAGAGGCTGAGGCATGAGAATCGCTGGAACCCAGAAGGCTGAGGTTGCAGTGAGCTGAGATCAGACCACTGCACTCCAGCCTGGGTGACAGAGTGAGACCCTGTATCAAAAAAAAAAAAAAGTTAATTTTACCAGAGGAATGCAGATTCAAAAAAACAACAACACAGTCATGGGATAGTCAAGGAAAAAGGTAGAGGCACCCAGCTTTTAGCAAATGGAAGGAGTAGAAAGAATGAACCCACATTCTTCCAGAAAGAACTAGAATCCCACCTTGACTTGCTCTGTCATCTATTCAGAGCTTGCAGCCAACAAATGCATCTTCCTGGTCAGTTGACAGGCACTAGCCGTTGCTGGGAAAGCCACCTGACTTACACGAGCCTCGGTTTCCTCATCTGTAAAATAAGGATGTTAATAATACAACTTAGGCTTAGATAAAACAGGAGCAATGCCTGTCTGAGAGAGGTGGTAAAGGGACAAATTCCCTTCCCACTTCACCCACGACAAAATTTTTGCATGCCTGTCAGGTTCAGCATAAATATGGAATTTTATTTTTAAAAATGATTATTGTGTGGGATCTGGATTTTAATTTTTAAAAAATGATTAAAGGTGAGTGAGGAAAATACCTCGTACCTCAGACTTTGTTGAGGCCCATGAGGTTACTGGGTTCTGCACGTATTCATTATTCTGTGTCAGACTGGAAGAAACCACGTCTTCCTGAGCGGTGTTGCCTGGGCTACGGAAGATGAACACAATGTTAACACTGACTCCCGATTCCTGTCTCAACAGATCTCCCAGTAGGTACCTGACCTAATTTGGTAAACCCTCTCATCTCCTTTGAAGGTGTCATAAGATTTATTCCAAGGTCAGACCTCACAGAAATCTAGATTTGATACATCTCAACCCATTCAAAGAGCAGAGATAATGGCAAGGGATAAAGAAAGAAACCTTCCTGGCCGGGCGCGGTGGCTCATGCCTATAATCCCAGCACTTTGGGAGGCCGAGGTGGGTGGATCACGAGGTCAAGAGATCGAGGCCATCCTGGTCAACATGGTGAAACCCCGTCTCTACTAAAAATACAAAAATTAGCTGGGCATGGTGGTGCATGCCTGTAGTCCCAGCTACTCGGGAGGCTGAGGCAGGAGAATTGCTTGAACCCAGGAGGCAGAGGTTGCCGTGAGCCGAGACTGCGCCATTGCACTCCAGCCTGGGTAACAAGAGCGAAACTCTGTCTCAAAAAAAAAAAAAGAAAAAAAAAAGAAACCTTCCTTCTAGAAATATAATCATGAAAGTTCTCACTCTGAAGGGGTTGTCCAAGGGGTATTCTTCAGGAAAAAGAGCTTGTGCTATAAACTTTCCTTAGGACTGCATTTTTTAAAAAAAGAGCCTCACTCTGTCACTCAGGCTGGAGTGCAGTGGTGCCATCAGGGCTCACTGCAGCCTCAACGTCCCTGGGCTCAGGTGATCCTCCCACCTCAGCTTCCCAAGTAGCTGGGACTACAGCCACAAGCCACCACACCCAGCTGATTTTTGTATTTTTATGGAGATGGAGTTTCACTGTGTTGCCCAGGCTGGTCTTGAACTCTTGGGCTCAAGCAATCCGCCTGCCTGGGCCTCCCAAAGTGCTAGGATTACAGACGTGAGCCACCGTGCACAGCTAGGACTACAAAATATTTTATCAACAAGATTGGTGGTGGACGTGGGAGGTTAACCCGAAAGCAATTCTCTAGATCAAAATAAGAGCAAAGCTATTCTGAGTATTACTACTAATGATAGCCACCACCTCTGGAACACTTCTGATGTGCCTCGCCTGTGATAAACCTTTGAAAGAATTCTGGCGGCTCACGGTGTGATCCATAGACCAGCAGCATTGCCATCACCTGGGAGCTTGTTAGAAAGGCAGACTCAGGCCTTGCCCCAGACCCACCGAGTCAGATCTGAGCTTAACAAGACCCCCACGTGATTCATGAGCACACTATGGTGTGCGAAGCGCCAAACTGCAGATCCACGAGCAGCCTCTCAAAGCACTTTTGCCACTTTATCCCACGTGGTCCTTACGACTCTGCAATGCAGTGTTTCGAGTAACCACAAGGGAACGTTATTTGTCCAAGATGGTACAGAAAGATATAGAGCCTGGCCAGGCGCAGTGGCTCACACCTGTAATCCCAGCATTTTGGGAGGCCAAGGCAGGTGGATCACCTGAGGGCAAGAGTTCCAAACCAGCCTGGCCAGCATGGTAAAACCCCCTCTCTACTAAAAATACAAAAACTAGCCAGGGGTAGTGGTGGATGCCTATAATCCTAGCTACTTGGGAGGCTGAGGCAGGAGAACCATTTGACTTAGAAGGCGGATGTTGCAGTGAGCTGAGATCATGCTTCTGCACCCCAGCCTAGGCAACAGAGGAAGACTCCGTATTAAAAAAAAAAAAAAAAAAAAAAGAGTCCAGGTCCAGGCAGGATGGCTCACACCTATAATCCCATCACTTTGGGAGGCTGAGGCAGGCAGATTGCCTAAGGTTAGGAGTTTGAGACTGGTCTGGCCAACATAGTGAAACCCCGTCTCTACTAAAAATACAAAAAAGTTAGCCGGGTGTGGTGGCATGTGCCTGTAATCCCAGCTGCTCAGGAGGCTGAGGCAGGGGAATCGCTTGAACCAGGGAGGTGGAGGTTGTAGTGAGCCAAGATTGCACCACTGCACTCCAGCCTGAACAACAGAGCAAGACTCTGTCTCAAAAAAAAATAAAAATAAAAAATACAGAGCTGGCACCTAAGCTCAAGTCACTGATTCTCTTTCTTCTGTTTTTATTTTCATTGTCCTAATCTGATTTTTCTTTTTTTTTTTTTTTTTTCCTTTTTGAGACAGGATCTCACTGTCACCCAGGTTGGAGTGCAGTGGTGTCGTCACTGCTCACTGCGGGCCCCAGTGATCCTCCCGCCTCAGTCTCCTGAGTAGCTGGGACTATACGTGTGCACCACCACGCCTGGATAGGTTTTCTTCGTTTTTGTTTTTTTTTTTTTAATTTTTTTGAGAGTTGGAGGTCTTACTCTGTTGCCCAGGCTGGTCTCAGATTCCTGGGCTCGCCTCTCAGCCTTCCAAAGTACTGGGATTACAGGCATGAGCCACCACCCCAGTGGACATAACACGGAGAGTAGATGGGAGTCCGATGGAGACCCAGGTGACCCTGGCGTCCCGTGTCCCCCTGCTGGGCAGTTCTGAAAAGTCGAGCCACTGCTTCCCTTCCTGACATGAGTACGTTTAGCCAGACTTTTCTTCCCCGAAACTCAGCACCTCTCCAGAATGAAGCACTGTAGCTGAGCGAGTAAACAACTGCTGATTCACAAACACCCCC